TACTAAGCCGGTCCTAAAATAGGTTCGACGTACAAAACGTTAGGAACTTGATATAATAGGTAATGACGCAGTAATCTAGTTGTGGTCGCTGATACTTTAATATCCGACTAACGGTCGTCCGACATCGACTCACTGAGCGACTCACTCAGTGACTGCTACTACTACTCCTTCTTATTATAGGTGGGAGAGTCTATTAACTATAGAAAAGGTGTGTTCCACTATAACACTTAGATATGTATTCTGGCCGCCACAGTCTTAACAAAGATACGCAGATGACACACTACTGATAGCAGACACGAAAAAATCTACAAAAGGTAGCGGCGGAGAATGAGAAGAAAGGACTAAGCAAAAACTACAAGAAAACAGAATACATGGTCACCAGTCAAAGGAAGAGCCCGAAATGCAATTTAAAGGTCGGGAACACTAGAATCAAGCAGACGCGGAAGTTTAAATATCTAGGAAGCGTCTTGAAAAAGGACGGTAAGTGTGACACTGAGATCCGTAGACGTATTGGGATGGCCAAGGACACATTCCAAATGCTGGGCAGAGTACTGAGATACAGGGGGATGTCTTTGGTAAGAAAGAAAAAAATACTGAACTGTTATGTGACGTCTGTCCTTCTTTACGGCAACAAATATTGGACGATTTCCTCAAAGATGAAGAACAGACTCGAGGCGACAGAGATGTGGTTCTACAGAAGGATGCTAAGGATATCATGGACCGAACATGTGAGCAACGATGGGGTTTTAGAGAGGTTGCAAACAAGGAGGAGGCTTATACTTAATATCAGGAAGAGGTAGCTGAGGTTTCTCGGACTCACAATGGTGAAAGAGGGCTTGGAGAATGTGATACTCACGGGTCAAATAGAGGGAAAAGAAGATAAGGGAAAGCAACGCGTGACATACCTGACGAGCTTGAGCAGGTGGATGACAGAACATGGCCTGGGGGGAGGAAGCAGAGTGTAGGAACTTGAAAACTGCAAGGGATAGAGGGGGTGGAGAACAATGATCACCTACGTCTTGAAAGGTTGGTTTTGGTTTGGTTTGTTTTACGACGTATCAACTACAATGGGTTATTTAATGCCAACAATTTTTATTGCTGATAATATTTTTTTCCTAAAAAAATAATGTATAGTTCGTAATATTTTTTTACAAAGTATTTCTGGTATTAAACTTATTTTTACATTTTCATTGTGTTTAGACCCCAGTTTGCGGATTAACTATTTGCCCATAGCTAGGACCCTAACAGGTGCTACCACACCGGGTCTAGGTGGATCTGGGAAAACCAGCAATTAAGAGGTGGTTCCACGCTCCTCAAAATCTCCTGATCAGAGGCCTTGCTGCTGGATGTAGTTTATCGTCATACCCAGAACAGTTCATGAAAGGACATGGCATATAAAAAGAAAAATGAACAAGAGAATATAATAGCCTTGAAGTTTGTGTATATACAGTAAATTGTTCTTTTTTTATATAGTTAAACGAATCATTTCCATCTCTTTAATTTCTCTTTATAGGCTTGTCGTGAATATCATTCAGATCACACAGATTTTACCACTTGTCGTTATAATGATGCCACAGATAAAAAAATACATAGTTTTCTATCACCAGAAAATATTTCATTTATCAGTTAAGAACTCACTTTTCTTTTGTGGGACATGTACGTTCAAGAGGTGAGAGATCATGGCTCTCCATATCTTCCTATCCATTGTGGCTTTTAATAATGTTTATCTTTTTAACTATAGCTCCGAATCGCTGTTTTCTTATTCATTTACACAAACACGTTAGCTACGTTGTTTTTCTCTATCCCTTATTGTTTCCATTTTCCTCAAAGCTTCCTCGTTGCTTATATGCTCCGTCCATGGTATTCTCAGCATCCTCCTGTAGAACAACGTCTTTATTGCCTCAAGCCTTCTCTTGATCTGTGAGGAATTTGTTTTTAATCATTTCATCTCGAGCTGAACGGGACGTTCTTAAAGACGATACTAAGAATACAACGCGCCTATTAGCTTACTTCTTTACCATTATAAATAGATGCATGATTGGATAGTTTAATTTGATGGCATGTCAACACTTGTTGGGTTCGTTAATGTTGTGGATCAAAGATTCTATTAAGTAGTAATGGCCAATCAGACTAGCTATGTTAACCATTATCTACAGATGTTGATTGGTTGATTTTATGACATATCAACACTTTGTGGGTTATTTAATGTTGAATGTTGAATTTTGTTCGGAACATCCAGTCAGAATCAAACTCACTACTCAGTAGTAATAGTCAGCCAGACTAGCCTTGCTAACTATTATCCCAAGCAGAGTCACCTACAATGAATGGTTAGTTGATTTTACAATATATCAACACTTATTGGATTATTTAATGTTAATGTATGGGGCACCCGGTGACAATGAACTTCATTATTCAGTACTAATGCTCAACCATGCTGACCTTTATGCCGAGCCACCTACCATACTTGATCGGTTTTATAACAATCCAACTCTTGTTGCATTATGTAATGTTGAATTTTGTATTCACTACTCAGTAGTAATGGCTAACCAGAATAACCCCGTTAACCATTAACCTATACTGAGGCATAATGCTTGGTTGGTCTTATAAAATATCAACTCTTGTGTTATTTGTTGACCATGTTTGCCGTAGTCTCTGAATATGGAATCCAGTGAAGTCCGTAATGTGTTCAATATCAGAGTTTGGCAGTGAAGATTCAGAGAAAGTAGCGGCTGTTAAGTAATTCTTTAAGTCTTCGATATCAGGTTGGCAGTGGGGATAATTTGGGAGAAAAAACAAAATGGCTGCCTTTATACACGTCGGATTGAATATTTTGAGCTTTCTGATTGGTTAACCCTTCTATTGGTGAACTATAAAATGGGTGAGCTCATTTTGACTGGCTCACTAGTACATAGTACCCAAAAAACTGCAATGTTGTTTGGGGTAACCAGTGATGTTGACCATTACTCATTAGTAATGGTTAGTAGCCATGATTTCCTTAGAGAGATGGCAAACAAGGAGAAGATTTATACTTAACATCAGGAAGAGGCAGCTGAAGTTTCTGGGACACATAATGAGGAAGGAAGGCCTGGAGAATCTGATACTCACGGGTCGAATAGAGGGAAAGAGAGACAAGGGAAATCAGCGCGTGATATACATACGAGCTTGAGCAAGTGGATGACAGAATGTGGTCTGGGGGAGGAAGCAGAGGGAAGGAACTTGCTGAGAGCTGCAAGGGATAAGAAAGGTGGAGAGCCATGATCGCCAACGTCCTGAAAGAAGAATTTTCAATATCACTCGTTAACCATTGTCCCACAATGTAACGATGTGACATTCACTTGTAAATTAACAATTGCTGCTAAAACCTGTTTATAAATTTTCTTTTATCGATTATTATACTATTGAGGAAGGCATCTTCTTATATGGGCACCAGTTTTTAAGATGTACAGTGCGCATTTCTTGGTATTGGCTTCTAAGTCATGTTTTCTGATAGAGTTAACTTAAACTATGCCTGTCGTTAATTTTCGAGCGACAGACTCGGTCGGCCAAGTCATTTTGTGGAAAAAGAACTTTGGTGGCGGAGAAAATATTCATGAATCGTGGATTCTAAAAGGAAATCTCGTTTGTTACCCGTTCATTCGAAGCGAGATGCCCTAGTTGACGTTTGTTCGAGTGAAATCCGCCGACATCTCTTTCTATCTTGTAGATGATGCCAACTTCGTCCGCAGTGAAAACCAATAAAATTGAAATCGTCTGATTTAATGATGCGTGCATGTTTTATGTCCCTGCTTCCAACCGAATAGAAATGGTGGTTTTCTTTAACCCGTTGATAACAAGACGATTGTTCTTATTGAGTCACTGACCAGGAACTGGTCAGTGACTCAATAAGAATTTGATCCTAGCCTCCAGGCTGCTCGGCCCGGAGGCTATGATCAAAGTGTAGTACGCTGCCTTTGTGAGCTTCCGAGTCGGCGTCTGTCGAACTCTCTGCATTAGCAGAGAGGAACCCGGACGAAGCTTTGCTGAAGGGCAAGGTTTCGTTCGGGGAGGTAGACAGGGCCTGAATCCCTCAAGGCGGGTTCAAAAAGGCTATATTTTTGGCCGAGCCTACGGGCTCGCGGATACCCACATTAAACCGGCCTTGTGCCACATTCTATCCTCGTGGGTGGATCGATAAATACTGACCAGTTCCTGGTATTCTGTCAAGGTAGAAAAGAAAAAGCAAGAACTATTAACTGTAATAAGAGAGAATGCATGGTCGTCAGCAAAAGAGGTGTGATCTACATACTGGGAACGTCAAAACTAAGCAAATATAGAAATTTAGCTCTCTTAGTGATGTGGTAACAGACAATGGAATATATAGAAACGCATAGGAATAGCGAAATGTGACTTCTCGAAATATTAAGACAGGAAAATATATAATGAGAAAAAATAAGAAGAATACATAACATGATGTAACATCTGGTCTTTTCTGTGACAGTGAATGTTAAACAATTTCCGAACAGATGATTGTTTGATCGATTTCGTTTCTACGACTTATCAACACTTTGCAGGTTATTTAAAGCCAGAAAAATATTTTTATATTGTAAGATATTTTTTGTTTTAGATAATAATGTTTTAGAGATACTTAATATTAGTTAACCCATAGCTGGAGGTAGAAGAGGCGGATCCCTACCTAATCAGAATTTGATGAACGAGAAATTATAACGAGGATATAAAGTTAGGGATCAATTCTATATTAAAATTAATATATAAATTAAGTCCTTACTTTGTGACCGCGGTAGTTCCAATACATTTTTTAGATGTTTTGGGGAGGGGATAATAATATTTTAGCGATACAGTTCTTACTAATTAACCTATATCTAAGGAAAGAATGGGTGAATTCATACCTATTGAAAGGGTATTTGCCATAAGTGAATATAATGGACCCAACAAGAATTGGAACTTGGCTCTCTGGTTAATAATTCTGAGCCATTATCCATTTCAACACGCGGACATCAAAGCTTACAGTATTTGGTATTCCCAAGCGGTTACCCATCTAGGTACTGATGAGGCTTGATGTTGCTTAACATCGGTGATCGTACAGGAACTAGTGTTTTAATGTGAGCCGGAATTGATGATGAAGAGCCCAAAGCAACTATTGCAAAGAATAGCACGGACAGAACGTGTTAGCAATGTGAAATCCGTAAATAAAATAAGAACAACAAGGAAATATACTTACAATCAGAACGAGACTGTGGAAATATAATTAGGGCCCAGCGGAAGTCGGTGTACATATTTAAGTTTTTTTTTTTTCACTAGTAAACAACAAACTGTTGATATCATTTGGACTGTTACCCTCATTTTTATGGGCCTATTTACGACCTTTTACGCTCTGGCTTTCTACAGGTGATATACTCACTGATGCTTCCAAAAAAAACATGGACCAGTGGGGAAAAAAAAAACGTTGGTTGAAGTAATCCAAATAAACAACAGCAACTTCACTCTAAGAGTTGTGAGTTCAATACCTGACCACAGCAGAGGGAACAAAAACTTGGATATTGAGGAATTAACTGAAACTGAGATATTCCAAAAAAAGGCATGGTACGTGGAATTAGAAAAAAAAACCTATCCCCGTGGACTAAATAAGGGGTTCAGAACAAAATTCCAACGTATATCACCTGATGAAGACCGGAGCGGACAACCGTCGAAACGTCGTGAGTATGGCAATAATGATGAGGACAACAGTCCGAATGATGTAAATATGTAAATAGTTACAATACCTCATTTCATAAATATAGACAGATGTAAAACTTTAGTAAACCATATCCATATGCTCTAGCATGTAAATTGTCAAAAAAAAAAAAAAAAAAAAAAAAAAAGAAACTCCTGGGCAAAGTGAACTGTATGATACAGAGCAAATTATAATAATAATTTATTAAGGACAATGGATTTTAAAGTTTTTTCCTTTTATATATATATATATATATATATATATATATATATAAAAGGAAGAGGTTGTAGTGGTTCCAACGAGAGAAAAGTATGTATATTAAAAAGAAGAGAAGAGAGGTGCCGTAAACGTTTTTGGTTGTAATGTGGATTTATTTTGAAAAAAATATGCTTTGTTTTACATAATTGTACTACACGTGTTTCTGGTCTCGTGACCGTCTTCAGGTAAAAGTGGAGATTTCCACATATTATGTTAAATATTCTCGATATGAGACATTTTCTGTGTTAGTAATCCGAATTTCTTTCTTGAATTGGCAATGAAGAGTTCTGCGCGAAGGGTCATAAAACAATTAAGGTTGGTCCAAGCGAAATGATGAATTGCATATCGGCATTTTATCTTTTAATGTTTTACTGACCCCTATGTGTTCTTGGATCTGTTTTCATTTTTGTGTGTTTCTGTCAGCATGCGTGTATATATGCGTGCGTATATTCTCCTCCATACATATACTGTCTTACTACGAGGAATTAGTAAACTCATTTGTACATATACACGCATACACACACATACGCACATACTCACCATCCCACCACAAGGAATCAATACATACACACACATACACACACATATACACACATACTTTCCAAGCTACATGGAACCAGTATACACATACATACACACACATACGTACCTATATACACACGTACTTCCTAAATTGTGTGGGTTATATATATATATATATATATATATATATAAGAAAAAAAACTTAAAAATGCATTGTCCTTAATAAATTATTATTATTATTATTATTGTTATTATTATTATTATTATTATTATATATATATATATATATATATATAAGCAAGTGTAAATGGATAAAATCCGACAGAATGTAGAAATTTTGAAAAACAAACAAAAATCCATAAATGTAGTTAAAATTTTAACTACATTTATGGATTTTTGTTTGTTTTTCAAAATTTCTACATATATATATATATATATATATATTAATTGATTAAAAAAGAAGGAGAAACCATAACGCTTTTGGTTGTAATGAGGATATTTTTAAAAGTATATTATGGTTTAAATGTATAATATATATATATATTTTTTAATTCACATTACATCCCCAAAAGTTTGCGGATCTTTTTTTCTTCTTTTATTAGATACACTTTTCTCTAGTTATAACAACTATAAACTCTTCCCATATATATATATATATATATATATATATATATATATATATATATATATATATATATGGATAAATGGTCTCTTTCCTTATTTTCAGCGTATGAGTGTCCATTAACTAACTTCTTAGAATCGAACAGTCAGCTAACCCGCACATATGATTTTTCTTATAGTGGTCAAGTCTTGTTCAGAAATAGCCACAATTTTCGGACGATCCAAATACAATGTGCCACAAGGTCTCCGAACAAACCTCCGCAGGTTTTGTATTCAGAGTTGTCCTTCTCCTAGATTGGTTACCGACCAAATCTATAGGGCCTAGTTTGTCCTGCTATTTGAAACATAGTTGAGGAAAGAAGAGATGGATATGGATCAAGGCCATATATAAAAATAAACATGGGCAGAAAACAGATTTGAGTTAGAAAGTATGAAACCAACTTTGAAGAACGTGATGGCAATAAACATAGAAAGATTAACAGAATTAAACCACAACATTTGACTGCTAATGATATATTGATGACTAACAAACATGTTCTTCCGTGTGTCCTTTGTCCGTTGTTTGCACGCTTTTTCATAGATAAATACATTGTTACAACTGTAAGCGTAAATTTGCACGTAGTACAATAGAACAATGCTTTTAACATCTGCTCAAATTGAAGCACTTACAAAAGGAGAACAGAGTGAGTGAAAGCCATCCATTCATAACTATAAATGAACACGAACAGACAAAACAGTTGATGTTATAATGTAATTTTTTTTTCAAGACTATGTATTCTTATAGAAGAAGTAGCGTAATACGAGGTTCCGTTAAAAATGTTCATAGGCTGACCAAAATATAAACCTAAGTCGACATACCAGTTGATAGACCAAAAGACAAGAAAAGTGTACTGGAATATAATAGTTGGCCAACGAGCTGTTGTATTCTGGTACACTTGCATGTCTTTTGGTCTAACAACTGGTGTGTCTTTTTATATATATTTTTTCTCCTTCAGCTTGTGCTGTTACGTGTCGCTGGGAGACACAGCCGTCTGTCAGCGGCAAGGCGAGTGGCTTCGAGGCGAGATATCTCATTAGCTCTGAGAGTGTCTGCCAGTGTCTTCTTGGTCTGCCTCTCGCTCTCCCACCAGAATACCTGAGGATGTATGCTTGTAGGGCTGGTTGGTTGATAGGCAGTGAAATGTCCGAACCACTTGATCCTCTGTCTTTCGACGTGTCATATGATTGGTATTGCTCCTATCATATCTCTTATTGCCTAATTCCTGATATTGTCTCGCCTTGTCTTGTTCATTGCTTCCTTCAGGCATTTCGTCTTCACAAGTGATCAGTTTCCTCTCAAGGGTTTTTGTTAGGTGCCATGTCTGGGAGTGGTATGTCAGTGTTGGTAGGAAAATGGCGTTGATGAGATTTGCCTTGGCGCTCATGGAAATGCTTGGATGATTTAGAAGAGGAGCAAGTTGGTAACTAGCTGAGTTGGCTTTCTGACATCTGACCTCGATTTTTCTGTCTAGTTTGTCGTTTTTAGTAAATATGTTGCCCAGATATTTGAATTCACTGGTTTGATTTAGCTGGGTCCCATTGATGTTAATGTTCAGTTTTTCTGGTCCCTTGCTGACGGTCACCATCTCGGTCATGCTGGCACTGATCTTCATGTCGTATTTCTCGCAGCTTGAGTTGTGTTGGTCAGTGTGTTCCGGCATCTGTTATGATTAAAAATCTTATTTATATAAGAGAATTGCGGCCAAAAATACTCAACTACGAGTATAGCAAAGTTCTTAAATGTTTGTAGCAGCAAAGTGTTATATAAAAAAGTACTAAATTAAAATACTACAATTAAAAAAATCTTTTAAAAATCACATAAGTTACCTCCCTTGTATAGAAGTAAAAATATTTTGAATTTACAGTGTTAACGCATAACACATCCATAGATATGTAATTCCTGAAGATAGCCCCAGATGAGATTGAAAGTACTTGGGAAAGTTGAAATGCTCTATGGTGACGTCTGCACTCAATAACCGTTATACATGAAGAACGGCTTGATGTAAAACGGGGATACAGGTTCGATATCTCTCGGAAGAACAATCTTTCGTTAATAGGACTTATCACTCTAGGCTAATGTTATTAATTACAGTGTTAAAAAAATATAAAAAGGATAGCAACTTAAATATGTGTACCCTATAAAACTAACGTTTAAATCAACAAAGAAATAGTGTTGAATAAAAAATTCATTTACATATTATAATTAACATATATAAGTATATAGATTTTCTTAAATTTTATCTATCTATCTATCTATCTATCTATCTATCTATCTATCTATCTATCGCTCTCTCTCTCTCTCTCTCTCTCTCTCTATCTATCTATCTATCTATCTATCTATATATATGTCTAATTCAGTTTTGTTCATATCTATCTATCTATCTATCTATCTATCTATCTATCTTCTTCAGCTTTGTTCATATCTATCTATCTATCTATCTATCTATCTATCTTCAGCTTTGTTCATATCTATCTATCTATCTATCTATCTATCTATCTATCTATCTATCTATCTTCAGCTTTGTTCATATCTATCTATCTATCTATCTATCTATCTATCTATCTATCTATCTATCTATCTATCTATCTGCCTGTTTTTCCTCGCAAGTCTAAGTCCCAATATAATTTTCAAATTCATTTCAGATATTAATTCTCAAAAAGTTTATGCTTTAACGAACTGAAATTTTCTTCATTCATCCTGTTATAATATGAATTGATATAAAACGCACATCGCGTTTTCATCCTTTTTAGAGAAGAGTTTTAGAAGACCGTGAAGTTGACTGTTATTGGACCATAAAGCCCTAAGAATTTTTTTTTATCACGTTGGATTAGGATAGCGTTCCATTATGAGTCTTAGCTGACGGCTGGGACACAAGTCGATATCCGTTTAATATCAATATGGAGAAGGGACATTGCAAGACCCGAAACCCTTAATGATCCACGGCCTAAAAACATCAATGATGATGCTTGACAGAGCATCCGACAGATATATTTCACGAAATGTCTACACCATATCGTGAGAAGAGTAACCTTTTTCGTTTCTATCAATAATACTTATTTAAAAAAGATGGCTACCTTCGTTTTCTGAAGCTTGTAATAATAATTCTGCTTTATCTTGATTTTAAAAAGTAAAAAAAAAAGGGCCACTTCTATTTTCCTTGATGTTTCTTTTCTTTCTCGGTTTGATAGCATTTTTAAATTTATCTACCCTCTTTTTTTATGTGCAATAAAGCAATTCCAGTTTTTTTTGGGCTTCATTTTTTTAATCATCTATTTTTGTCTATTTTTCTCACGCCATTTTTCTTTTTCTTTTCTTAATTTTTTTTTTTAATTCTAATCCTCTTTCTTGTTCTTCTCTTGATATATCTATCTATTTCTACCCCGACCACCACTAAGTTTCTTCTTCGTCTTTCACTTGATCTGTATTCTATGTTCCTATACTCTAGCCATTTGGATTGCGTTCATTTGCGTAGCCTCGATTTCAATCTCACCCCCAACCGCGAGTTGTATCGCTTGACAAGCTCACGATGAATTTAACGCCAGAAACCTATTGATCATTATCCCAATGAACAGAGATTAGCTTTGTAATCACGCACGAAGTTGATCAGCGCATCAGAAAGTGGAACAGTAAAATCAGGGCAGGATATTTTCGGGCTGAAAAAAAAAAAAAAAAAATTATGACGTTCATTTGTGAAGCCATTAGTGGAAGATCGACTCTTAATTTCAGATTCAAAAATCGTAATGAAATTCAAATTTTATTTTCATTTAAAATAAAATGAAAAAAAACAAAACAAAAACAAACATCAACGTTGATTGAATTTCTAGATATTAAAAAAAAATATTTTCAAATATAAAAAATCATATTATTATTGCCATCACAGTAATCCTTATTTTCGTATTAATATCATTAGTCATAATTTCCGGCATCTATTCTCACACTAGGCTACATCGCAACCTTAACTTTACACCACGGTTTAGTTATTTACTAAGTGTGGTGGTATCCAGAAGGGATCGAACTCACCCCAGAAAAAATACTCTGCTCGAGAAAATTACTGCATTATCGCGAAGTATCTCACAGACATTAATATATATATATATATATATATATATATATATATATATATATATATAGATAGATAGATAGATAGATAGATAGATAGATAGGAGGTGAGGGTTTGTAAACAGTGACTATTATAGCTCTTAGATTGGTGCAAAAATAATGTCGTTTTTGACGTTAAGTTGAACGTCAAAAACGACATTATTTTTGCACCAACCTACTAATATAGCGAAACTCTTCGCAAAAAGCGAATTGAATCACTGTCAGTCACTGGGCGTGTTTCTAAAAATAAATACGCTAAAATCCACCTTCATCCCTGTCGTGCGACGACGGCTTAGTGGAAGAATCTCCGACTAACACCAATTCAGTCTGGTTTCAGTCCTAGCTAAAGGCCACCGGATGTCTAGCCACACTGATGAGCTGCGAAACAGTCTGTCTGTGGATGACGTTATATATATTTAAAGAAAAACAGACCATTTAAGGCTCCATTGTAATAGTTTATTTCGCCAGTGAAATAAAATATTGCAATGGAACCTTAGTACTAAACTATTGCAATGGAACCTGGTCTGTTTTTCTTTAAATTATTAGCTCTGAATTTACATTGAGCTCTCAGGTTTCATCCTCCCATACCGAGTTTTTCATTACTTTTATTTTTATATATATATATATATATATAAAAGTAATGAGAGCCTGAATAATTGCGACTAAATGGAAGTGATATTAAAATGAAAGAAACACTAGTCAAAAATGAATAATGGCTCTCAATGCCTCATCTAAAATTAAAATATAAAGATCTTTTATTATTTCACCCTAAGCAAGGCAATAAAGCCCCTAAGACGATAGGGGGGTTACTGAGTATTAAAGAATATGAGAATAATACTGTTAAGGAAAGACAGCAATAAAAGAATAAGAATTAAAAAGACGGAAGATTACGATTGACATTGCATTTAATTTTTTGAAGATCAAAGTTGATTGGGAAGCAAGAAGGTGGAAGAGTGTTCCACCGGCGAGAAGCAAAGTTAATCCGAACAATTACCATGAAAGTATTCATTGAAAAGGCACAAGGAAACCAATTTCTGTTTTGGAAAAGTATATCTTAGTCCGACATATTGGAACCCTTGACATAGAATGTCGATCCATTTCAAGATAAATACCTACAAGCGTCTGTTCAGATTGATTCGTTTTCTACGGCTTATTACTACGGCATTGCAGGTTATTTAAAGCCAGAAAATATTTTTAGATTACAAGAATCTCTTTTCTTGTTTTGGAGACAATAATGATATAGTGATACAAATCTTCCTAATTAACCTATGGCTAATGGGATTCAAACCTTTTCCAAATTTATTTGCGCGTAAGAGAATATAATGAACCGAACTGGAATTAGAAGTCGGCTCTCTGATTTTAATTTACGAGCCGTTATATATAATATATAGTTTCTTTTTTTTATTTTTATTGAAACCTTATTTTGGTTCTTGATAGGAGAATCCATCTATATATCGTCGTCGGCTTTATCTCGTATCCAAGAATTTAATTTCTTCTTTTCTGAACGCTTTCTTTGTGACGATGGCGTTGATGACTAAATTCGCCTCCAATGTGCAGTTTCCGGACTTGAATCTCGCAGTTTCACCAAGACCTGCTCCCTTCATCCATTCCCTAATTACTTCGGAGGTGTACTTGTCGAACTCTTTGCCTCTTGGCAGAAAGGAACCCAGACGAGGCTATGCCAAAGGGCAGAGTCTCGTCTGGGGTGGTAGACAGCTACCCGACCCCATTTTTTACGGGGTCTACGGGGAATTTTTTCCCGAGCTTACGGGCTCGGATACCCCACAATAAACTCGGCCTTGTGCCACATACGACTGCGTAGGGCGGTAGGTGAATATCATCATCCATTCCCTATCGCTTTGCAAGAGTTGGTTCAAAGCGAAAGAAAATCAGAGTAGAAGAAATTGCCGATGGAAGAAATTGCCATGAAGTGACCCACACACTTGATTTCATGATCTTCCTCACATGGAATGGGGCATGCTGAATCCAGACTGCCGCTGACTCTGTTATAGTTTCGAGTGGCGCTTTCTGCAGCATGTCTGTCATGTGCAGCCCTCGTCATCGGAATGCTTCAACCGTTCATTTCTGTTGTAATCATAATCCAGTTGTTCCACTGTTGAGGTCTTTAAGTCCTAAGAAACATTGAAGGTATGTAGAATAACAATAATAAACAGCACTTACCGCTGTAAAGGTCCCAGCTAGCGTCCAGCTGGCAGACAAAAATAAAGCAGGTTGTAACTTGATACAAACCCTGCAAACTAACAGCTGAATCAAGCTGGTATTTATATAGAAATACCTCCACTCAGGTACCAGCAGCCAATCACAGCCCAAGCAATGGACTATCCCACTTTAGCACAATGAGATGCTCTATGGCAACATAAATAGCTCTCTTTCTAAAGGTTGGATTATTGTTCACTTAGCTTGCTCCACAACTAAGTGTTTATCTCTACCACGTGATTTTTCTACATGGCGCTGCGAACAGGATACGAACCTGTGAGGGAATAACCCATTTTCTACAAGGTAGATGGATACTGCGTGGTGTTGTGTGCGAGGAAGGAAAGACTGACTGGTTCGTTTTTTACGGCTTATCAGCCATTGTAGATTATTTCAAGCCAGAAAATATTTTTATATTTTAAGAACTATTTTGGGAAGATAATAATGATTTAATGATACAAGTCTTACTAATTAACCCATAGCTGGGGGGTCAGGTTGATTTATATCATTCCCTTAGGTATTTGCGCGTATGTGAAATTAACGAACCTGATTGGAATTTGAAATCTGCTCTCCGATTAACAATTCCAATTTTATTATACCATCCGAACATCCAAGCTTACAGCACTTAGCATTACCAAACGATCACTCAGCTAGGTAATGACCTGGCTCCATGTTACTTAATTTTGGTGATTGTACGGGCTATATATGAATGATCAAATATGATATAACCCTCAATAACACAAATTAAAATGCGATCATATGACTATGATGGTTGATAAAATATGTAAAAATAATAAAATCCAATTACCCTATAATTTAGATGACTGTCGGAGTACAATGTTGAATCGTTCATAGCATTCATTAGAGCAGTATGTTACATAGCAAGTACCAGGTGACCGGGTGTACTGAGTAGTGATTATTTCCTTTCTTCCATCCGTTAGGAAATGTGGTTTCATGCCTTTTCCATCGTTATTAGCGTGAATATAGTTTGCCGAAAAATTAACATCATTATATATATATATATATATATATATATATATATATATAGTCAAACTTAGAGAGCCAGACAAACCTACCAAGGTTTCGCCTAAGCGGATCGTCAGGGATTAGCAAATCAAGAAACCGAAGGTTTTCCGAGACAGAGTATATATATATATATATATATATATATTTCATATATATATATATATATATATATATATATATATATATATATATATATATATATTTCATTGAATGCGACGGACAAGGTGCTTTTATTTAGTTTTTTATACAATTTC